GAGGTTTTGCCATGTTGGCCAGGTGGTCTCGAACTCCTGGCCTCAAGTGATCCGCCCACCTCCGCCTCCCAAAGAGCTAGAATTACCGGCATGAGTCCCTGCTCCCAGCCAGCTACAGTAACATTTTTTGCCAATTAAATTTATTTAACATACTTAGCATCTAAAATTTGTTTGTGTATATAGTGTTACAAGATTCAAATTAACATAAGCAATTTTTCAAACTTACCAAGAATTTCACCGCTCAGAAAAATAATATCCTTAAATTGTGGTGTGTCTACTGTAATCCACAAAATTGAGGAAATATGCAATACGCAAAATGCTAACTCTCTGTTTCTATCCCAAAACAAACATTACATTCTGTATATTAACGTAATTTTTTTAATCCCACTAAAACCAAGATACAATCATTCAGTTGCCTAAGGTGCTATACACGGAAAGACCCACAGAGTGTGAAACTGGGCAAACTATCCCAAGTCACATGAATACCACTAATAAGGAAGAAAGATGTACAGCTAATTTAGGTTTAGCAGCTATACCTGTTAGTCCTTTTGACTCTTTTTCTCCAAAGAATCAATAAGGAAATTGACCAATTTCCACAGAAAAAAAGAAAACAGCAAAATTACCATCTGTGGGGGCGGGGGATCAATTTACAAAATTACTCAGCAATACTGAACTATATCATCATTAGAAAATGGAGAAAATATCTCCTAAGCTCCCGGCCCATTTTTCCTACCATCAACCGAGTAACTGTCTAGCAGCATTTCAAACTAACACTTCAAGCCTGAACCCCACACCTCCCTGCCCCAGACCTACCTACCAATCACATCCATTAACCCCTATCCCCTATCTTGGCTGAAGGCCTCTCCCACTCAACTCCCAAGTTAGAAACCTAGGAGTTAACCCTTCATCTCTATATGCAGGCAGGTCATTAAAGCATGTCAACCACATATTGACAAATGTCACCCAATCCTACCCCTGTATTGTACTTGAATCCAGGCCATCACCGCCTCTCCCCTGAAGTCAACAACCCACTAACATGTCTGGCACTACCTTCATGGGACAGTCACCTTTCCTCCTCTTCCATTCCCCACACCCGGAGCATATTACCTTTTCCTTGCTTCATATCTCCACCATACTACACTGAATACTTCTAGCACTGAGTATCTTCTTTTTAGTCCTCTGTTCACTTGTCTGCCTGTCTGTGAATTCTAAGCTCTTGAAGAAGGGGCCACTTTTGGTTACTCCAGTATCCTCAGTGGCTGGTACAAGTACACAGAGACAATTTGTAAATGTTTGTTTACTGAATATGTCAAAGTTCATTCTCCACACTGCTGCCACGTTTTTCTTTTCCTTTTTATTATTTTTGAGACAGTCTTGTCCTGTCTCCCAGGCTGGAGTGCAGTGGCACCATCTCTGCTCACAGCAACCTCCGCCTCTGGGGCTCAAGCAATTCTCCTGCCTCAGCTTCCTGAGCAATTGGGATTACAGGTGTGTGCCACCACACCTGGCTAATTTTTGTATTTTTAGTAGAGACAGGGTTTCACCATGTTGGCCAGGCTGGTCTTAAACTCCTGATCTCAAGTGATCTGCCCACCTCAGCCTCCCAAAGCGCTGGGACTACAGGCGTGAGCCACCGCGCCCAGCCTGCTGCCACATTTCTTCCACCAAAAGCAAATCTAACCGGGTTCTCTGGTTAGATGCCTACAACAGCCATCTGAGAAGCTGTCCCTTCACAGTCTGGCCCCAACACTTCTTCACTCCAGCTCGTCCTCTGGCACTGTGACTACACTACATTCACTGTTCCCAGAGCACATTTTCAGGCCCGTGTATAATACATACTACAGTTTGCGCACAGCATCTCTTTCACAAGATTTCCCCTCTGTCCAAAACATTCTGTATTTTTCAGGCCCTGCTCACAAATCATCTCTTCCTCAAATTTTCTCATGAAGAATAAACTTCTCCCTCTGCGTTACCTATGCACAGTTAATACAGCTTTTTTTGTGCTCCCTATTCTACATACTACTCTTACTACAAATTTTGCGTTTGCTCCCACTAGAAAGTCAGATTGTTGTGGGAACCCGAGCCCCAGTACCTTACACATTGATTGCCTCAAGTCATGTGACAGGGCTTGAGTTTTTCCACTGTTTGAAAATTGGCTCTGCCATCTTTCACCTGTGCGGTTTGGGACTAGTTGTTATGAGGATTCCCCGAGTCTCATTTCCTCTTACGAAAACTTATTATCTCTATTTGGAAAGTTATCGTGAAGATCTCAGCTTATGAAATGATGTATGTGAAGCCCCCACCACAGAGCACGATGCTGGCTTTCTATTAACTGTAACTGACAGATAAAAATGCGCTGGAGTAATGAAACGGGGGGGAAGAGGCTGCCCAAAGGATGAATTA